TGCCATAAACTGTACATTATAAAAAATGTACATTGTAAAGGCCCTATCCATGTGCCATATACACATATACAGTGTTTCTTTCTGCAGCTATACATGGCAATACAAGACTTTGCCATCTTTTGCACGTCATTTTGAAGTTCAAGTTCAGTGGCTGGTTTTTTTCTGAAGATGCTTGTCATTTACACTTATTGGTTAAGGTTTAATAACTTATTTGAGAAATTAGATTGCTGGTTGTAAAACAATCAGATCCAAAGTACACATCCAGAATGATACTATAATCCAACTATATATATTGTAAAATGATATTCCATGAATAATAAAGGTACATTAAATGCATTTGTAAGCTGGTCAAAAGGTTGTTTTGGATAGATAGGCAGGGGCCCTAGGACCACACAAATGAACGGAAAGTGAGAGTCAGAAAGATGTAGGGCCGTTTGAGTTCTGCCCCTACTGGAGAAATGCATTCATGTAGTAAAAGGAAAAATGAAGGCAACATTTACCACAAAAAGACTGCTTGCAAAGTTGCCAGTGTGAAATCCCACACCATGCGGGGAAAATAAGAGCCCAACTTGTAACACTTTATGTATACAATATACATTACAGTGTTACACCTTACACTGACAGAACCTGCAATAGTAAACATATAATTGTATATTGAAGAGCTGCAGTTGACAGGGCTGTCCTAATTTGACTTAAGCATGTTAAGAGGTGTCAAATTAACAAGTAGACCAAATATCAGTAGATATTACATTTTGCATTGCATTTTCAAGAACTAAGATTAGCTCCAAATATATGTTATGAAGTCTTGATGTGCAGTATGTATTCCCTAATCCATTGTTCAAGTTTAGAACATAACAAACAAATTTCAATCTGCATGTTTTACAAGCACAAATCCATCGACATCTCTGTTGTCTTGACTTCAAGTTAATAAACTCTGATGTAAACTTTAATGAAAGAAAAACCATTCAATTCTGATGTGAAATAATATTGTATAAGGGGTTTTGTCAGCACTTGAATAAATGGAAGAACCAAACTGATTCTGGTAGATTGCCCCCTTACACCAGTAGGTGGCAGTGAAGCTCAGCAATATGACAAACACTGAAAGAGTGGAACTGTACTCACAGATTAGGTTTAGTTTATGCACATCCCCTAGCCCTGATATGTGTGGAAATTCTGCAAATGTTTTATAAACTAATTTACAAATGTACCATTATAAGGTACAATTAATTGCTTACACACACAGCACACACACATGTATGTTGAAACCAAGTGAACGCATATTTGATTATCTTACTTTTCTAATATATGTGGTGCTGCTTATATGCTTTTCAGTTTTTTTTCTTCATTTCTGAGCACAGACTTTCCATCAGTATTTAAAAAGGGAGCAAGAAGAATGTGAGACCAGCTTTCTTTTGTTTTACCGAATACAGGAAGCAGTTAACATGGCTGCGCAGTGTTTTGATTGCACTGTTCCACTGAAAGTGTTTTCTTTTAGGGATAATACTGATTATGGGAGGATCCCAAGGGTAAGTGAAGCTCCCTTTCAATGAGTGACTAATTTCCGCAGCCTGCTGTATTTCAATCAAACAACAACACTGAACACAGTCCACCAGCCATTTTATAAAGAATTCCAGGGTGTTTCCTCGTCTGACCTCTGACCTTTACACCTTGGCATTTTAGAATGTACAATGAATCCCACAGTTTGAGACTCTTATTGAAACCCATATGGTCACATTTCCACCTTTGAAGATCCGTGGGAGAAGAGCAAACCAGTTGCCAGTTATCACTTCACTTCAGATTAAGCAGGAAGTGGTCAGCTTTGCTATTGCTGTTACAGCCTTATGCTATCAAATTGTCAACAATACGTCCAGAGTCCCCGTAAACCAGGAAATGGCCTGCAAATTTGGGCCAAATAGTCCATGTATAGATGTATTGATTACCATCTTTGTTCCACTAATATTTAGGAGATCTTTTAAGATCTCTAATGAGTCAGCAAGATGGTAGATATTGGTTGTACATCCTTCAAAAGCCTTATTATACTTAGTAGACAAACTTGTAACATATCCACAATATTTGTTGAATGATGAGGAATAGCTCTTTAGTATGAATCTGTTGCTTAGTGCTGACGCTCACTTTCCAGCTGCCCTCAAATTCCACACTGCTTTCAACTCCATAATGCTCTGGGTACCAAACAGGCAAAACAGGAAGCTGGACATGAGTGACTCCACTTCCCAAAAGGTTGTCTACACTCTTAACCGTTTGCTCCCCAAATTCTACCTTAGATATACATAATAGATATAGTAGATGATCAACACGGAAAAACTGATCGTGTGCACGTGTGGCCCATGACATAACATTACATATTAAATATGTAGACATTTTAGAATTGAGACATGACGCTTGCACCAGCTTTCCGGTGACATTTAGGAAGCCTAAAAACAGAGATAAGGGTTTTACCGCTTAATGACAACAAGCGTGTTTTTATGGTGCGCTGCAAGCCGTGTGACTCGTATCATACTGAACCATCTGGAGCCGACCCGTCTATCTGAGAGGCATTGAGAGGGGTGCCATCATGCATGGGAGGGAGTGGGTAGGAAGTGAAGGCAGTGTGCACCAACCCCCCAGGAAAGCTCCATCTCTGCTGCCAGTTGCACATCCTCTGGGCCTTCTCAGTCAACTCCACAGGAAGTAGTGGATGACTTGGGTGTCTTATCAGAACTGACTTTCTCTTTTCTTGTTTCTCATCTATCATAAATGTGTTCTTCAGCCTTGCAATCACATGACACTGTGGAGGTTCATGGTACCAATGTGTACTTTTGAATAAGCTTTTCAAACACCACAGTTGTGTTACGTGTACGAAGACTTCTGTGCAAACAAACACTGTTAATTAAGATGCCAACAATTCTAGGCCTACTTAATATGTCAAGCTGAATTTCAACAAGGAATTATGCAAAAATTATTTAATGCAATCGTACAGAATACTGTTGATAATGATGAAGGGTGGTATAGCTCCAGTGCTGGCAAAAGCACATATGCCATGTGATCAAAATGTTGCTGTTTTATCTTCTTTTATTTAGGACATTTACATTGAAAGTTCATTATTAATTTAGAAACAGCAGTACAAAAAAACTCTCTACAAGATCCATTCCTTAGCTAATTTTCCTTAGTGGATGTATAATAATTATGAAATATCTTGTAGACATTCATATTAGCCTTTTTATGAGCATGTTGGGGCTTGGCTAACAATTGAAACAGTAAAACAGTGTGATACCACTTAAAGCTCCAGAAGACCATGTAGGGAAAAAATGAACTTCAAATATACATTTGTAAGCCAATATGTACAAGAGGTCCTTAAAAAGCTAATACAAAAATTGGTATTTGAGCATATCCATGAAAAATGGGCAATTTGCTTCCACTAAGGGAGGTTTTGTGACCTAAGGAAAAGCTTAAGATCAGAAGAAGAAGAGTGGACATTGTGTTGAGTTCTCTATTGGAGAAGTTAGGGTTAAAGATTGTGGCATTTTTATTTAGTTAGGACTATAAGCAACCAGAGCTCTTGCACTGTGCTGTTGTGTTGAGACAGTACGAGAAAACCTTGAAAGGTTTTTCATTTGGAGGGTATGTATTCAGAGTTGTATCTCTAAGCTGCTCTGCTTTCTGTGTGTTGGCGCAGCACAGCATGCTCACCTTGCTCCTGGGCCCTCTCTGCTTGGTACCTGTCCAGAGAGCCCACACCGCTCAACCACTGTCTAGCCCAGGGATGCACGTTAGAGTTTTCCTGCAATCTTCCTCAGTTGCATCTGGTCGAGTGTCTGACTGTGGCTGCTGGAGGTGCTTTATCTCTCTGCCCAGTCCAACTGCTGCCTGTGTCCCTCCCTCCTGAGGCCTTGGCAGCAGATAAGAGGAAGAGCCCACAGCAGCTCTGGTTTGAAAAGGAAAGGCTGTGAGAACAAAAACGATGTAGAAATATCATTTCATTTCTTTCTTACAGAGACAACATACAAATCTTATTTTGGGGTTGTTTAATGTATCTTCTCTCCTCCATCAGTTTACCTGTTTGTAGGCCGACCCTGTAATACAAGAGTTCTGAAAAATAAGTTAAACTCATAGAGGCGGAATAATTATATATTTAGAAACTGATCTTAACAGTGGTAGAATGTAACTAATGAACTAAAAAAAACTGATTAAACTGTATACATACAGTATATACGTTATTGTACCTTTTTATTTCTCTCTCTCTCAAGGACATTTCAGGTTAAAATAGCACCTGTGTGAAAACTGTGTGGTCGTGCTTAAAATTCAAGTTTCAAGGCTCTTATTTTCATGTGTGAACAGCTATAGTGTAGTTATGACAATGAAAATCTTAGGTCACAGGCTCCTCCAACAGTGCAACACAATAAAACAGATAAATACAAGTAAATAAAAATAAAATAGAATATAATAGAAACAGAATATGATAGAAACTGTGCAGAATAGTCTATACAGTAATTAGAATATTGATATTAGGCCAATATGAAATATGTGAGTTGCAAACAGATGAATGTTATACGTTCTTTCAAGAGTTCAGGTGTTTAACAGTTTTATGGCCTATGGGATTAAACTGTCCCTTAGTCTGGTGGTTTTAGACCTGATGCTGCAGTAAATAAAGTTAATCACGTGTTTTGTATTTAAAATCAAAGTTACTAATGATTTTAACTTTCAAATATAAGTGTGAAGTAATACGTTTCCTAGTAAATTACCTATATTGAGACATTGTTTGCAACACAATGAATATGTATTAGAAAGTGGGCCATACTAAAAGTCTATCATCTGAATTGCTGTTTTTCTAAGGAAAGTAATGAGTGGCACTGTAATTACCGAGAAAATACACGAGTGGCATGTAGCCTACTAATCATGCCACTCGTTATCTTTTGACCCATCGGCACGTTGCATTAGCAATAATGAACTCACATTAGTCTCAGTCACGACTCACGACTCAACCCCCCTCCGGACAGACCAGCCGGGTTTAGCTGTCGCTTTAAGACTGATTTCCCCCCATTGTCAAACAGTCGTGAGCAGGAAGAGGGAAACGAAAGCAGAGAGCGAGGGGCCCGACGTATTTAAACACGATGCTGCTGCTGCCTCTCAGTAACGGGGACCAGAGGAGGAGCGTCTCTGCAGCCCGATCACTTAAAAACACGCACCCACACGGAGATCATCACAAGTGACATTTTTGATCCGATTGTTGCCGTCTTATTGACAGTGTGAGAAGTCGCTGCAGGATGAGACTTGAGAGTCATGCAAGTGTCACCGCGGGTGATCGCCTCAGGAAATGATGACAGTGTCCTCCATCATCGCTTAGCTGCTCAGAGCGAAATTGTTTAGTCTTCGGCCATTTCTGCAGGACTGTGTGTTCATTTAACAAAATAAAGGGCTGAACCGGCGTCTTGGAGACTGTAGGAGCAAGTGTCTTTGATTCAGCTGCACAGGTGTGGACCCCAGCTGGACATCATATCTGAGACATGTCCTCTGCTATAGAGAGGAAGACCATGGAAGCTAATGAGTAAGTAGATTATGTATAATTTAGCATTGATAATGTTTGTGATGCAGCCTATATATTTTAGGAGGCATCATTGTTGTGACAGCCTGTCTCACAGCATTATCAGCAGATGGCTGACAGCATGTGTTCAGGATTCTCCAGCTGGGGCAAGATACAATTATCCAGAACATGTCCAAGGGCAGATTGTGAAATGTTTGTATAATGGGAGTATTGGCAACAAAAAGTTAACTGTTAACCAGAACAACTGATACAGTATTTAAACCCAGCTTATTTTATATAGACTTGTTTGAGGCAAAAGGCATTTAGAGGTCTACTCCCATAAAAGCAGCTGCCTGTCAGTGGGTAAGTACTTATACAATGTTTATTGAAACAATCAAACACACAGACATTAATTCTAATTTATACTGTATTGATTGACTACGTTGTCAACTTTTGAGATTATGCACAAGTCATGTTGATTATTAGCATTTGATTAATTGAAGGGTTCTTGGGTTGGATTATTTCTCTAACCATCATATATTTATCAAGAGTTGGAACAAACCGATACAGAACATATCTATATATAGAATAAGACGATTTTAACAAACGTAATGCCTTAAAGGGTAGGTAAGAATGGAGAAACCAGCTCGAGTGCACTAGAATTTGAAAGTAGCTACGCAGCCGAAAAAAATCTGCCCCTTCCTTCAGACTTCCTTACAGAGCCCCTCCTCCAACACACACAAACGCGCACATGACCAATGAGGGCACGAGATAAGTGTGTTCACCAGATGGAAGGCTGACAGGCAGGCAGGCCATCCAGTTCTTTTAGCCGGGCCGGTTCAGATGATTGGTCGTGCTTTTTACAGCGCCATGGCTTCGCAGATGAATTTTATGTATTTATTGTCTAGCATTTAATGTATTCATTGCTATCGGGATGTTAAGAGCATTCCATGGAATATAACAAGTGTTTCTGAAGTGATTTATACCCCACCTTTAAGGAGTACAAAAATAAAATGGACATTTTAGTTTTGAGGGGTTATTATTAACGTACAATTTGTTATTTGGCTATATTACTTAATAATATCCAATGGTTCTCTCAGGTGGATGGCATCAAACTGCAATTGAATACGGATGTAATGGACAGATTAGAATTAGTGGACCGATAAATGGAAGTGCAGGATCATTTTGTCCTCAATGGGCTGCTCTTAAAATCTGAACAAATTAACAATAATCTCCCAATCAGTTTCTATTGTAGTTAACAAAGTAATTACATACATTGAGTATTTAAGAAAACAATCATTTGGTGCATCCCTACAATGTTATATTTGTCTTTATCTGTAGCGAGCCGGTGGATGAAGTCCTCCAGATGCCCCCCTCTCAGCTGACGTGTGGTGGGTGTCAGCAGAGCATCGGGGACAGGTTCTTCCTGAAAGCCATCGAGCAGTACTGGCATGAAGACTGCCTGAGCTGCGACCTGTGTGGCTGTCGACTGGGGGAGGTGGGCCGCCGCCTCTACTTCAAGCTGGGGAGAAAACTTTGTCGGAGAGACTACCTCAGGTTGGTCCAATAATGTCGTAGGATCCTGATTTTAAAATGCAGGTTGTTTGTAGCAGGCATTTATTCACATTTAATCCAATGAAAAGCCAACAAGGAAATGCATAATATCAAAAGTCTGATATTCCTCTCTGTGCCATTTTAGACCTCCATTGTTGTCTACTCAACTAAACTATTTAAAAAACATCAATAAGCCACATTGTTACAACACGTGACATGTTTCCTTACTAGGTTGAACATAGGCTCTTATTATATATAATATTGCCAAGCTCACCCTTTAACAAAATGTGGGAAACACTCTCCATTTTATACAAACATGTTGATATGATTCAGGGAACAGCTGGATTACTAACCAGGCTAAGTTTGCAACACATATTTGCGGTTTGGTAGTTTTCAGGAACATTTTTGCATTATGCAGGATCACCTCATCCTGTGGGCCTGTCTTATAAAAGGTGCAGGCAGCCCAAGCATTCAAGACATTTATAATTATTATAATGATTTTCTTTTATTCTGTCTTTTATGTAATGAAGTAATTTAAAACCATGTATTATAAAGTCAGGCTAAAAGCAGTAAAATGGAGACTCATGGACTCCTTAAAGTATCCAGTTTTCCATCTTTTTCTCAGTATAATCTTTATGTCTCATCATCCATTCAGGCTGTTTGGTCAGGACGGTCTCTGTGCGTCCTGTGAGAAGAGGATTCGAGCGTTTGAGATGACGATGCGGGTGCGGGACAAGGTTTACCATCTGGAGTGCTTCAAGTGTGCCGCCTGCCAAAAGCACTTCTGCGTGGGTGACCGCTACCTGCTCATCAACTCAGACATTGTGTGCGAGCAGGACATCTTCGAGTGGACCAAACTCAGCAATAGCAACATGATTTAGCAGAGTGGTTTGGTCAACATGAGGGAGCAGCACCCTGCCTTTCCCACTTGCTTTAAAGTGGAGGAACTGACATTTTGCAGCCTGTGCAGGCTGTATCATGCATCATTCATAGTCAGAGTCAGCAGCTTTGCATTGCTCTCTACTGGAGACTGATGAAGACTGCACCAGCAATAACAAAAAAGGTTGATCCTTAAATGCAAAACCAGGCTTATATACTGGAAATACTTAAACATGCAATAATGATTGTTTGTTATACACACTGGAGTCTTATAACCTTAGCAATGAACACAAATAAAATGTTGAGTTCAAAATTCAAGTTTCTATGGTCTTACACTGTTTGAACACCTCAGTCTCTGAAGTGATCAATAGTAATTTATAAAGGTTTTATTTAATAAATTGCAATTTCCTGAAACCTTCCTGAAAATAACTGTGTAATTTGATTGTAATCACAGGAAAAACACCAATTTAATTTAAGAAAAAAATGTGAAGCTTAATTCTTCATAGATGTTGCATTTAATGTGTTCCTGTGGACAAGCTAACAGCTAACCTGATGCAATGACTGACTTTACTTTAAACCAGTGGTTCTCAAACTTTTTCTGCCAGGCCCCCCCTTTGGAGAAAAAAAAAAAGTCGGGCCCCCCCAACACAAATAGTCACGTAATGGGCCAAGTTAACATTTATTAAAATACATCAATGTGAACGTGAGCATTCCTTTAAAAAAAAAAAAAAAAAATCACTTTGGTAGAACAGTGATAATAAAACAATGCTCCATAAGTCTGTGTGCTCAAAAAAATAAATACATAATACAACTGTGCAATCCCTTTGCTCGAACAATAAGTTATATTACTTTGCAATCTGTGCAAAAAAATGAAAAGAAAGAAAAGGCTGATATTTGGCAAAAAAGTGTGTCTTATCACAGTGGCTGCATGAGCCTGTTTTGCACTGCACATTTCTTCAAAACGGGGTTGCAGGCTCAGTGGCGGCGCCAGAGATTTATTTTGGGGGTGCTGTGGGGTAGCTTGACGTTTCATAGAGGGTGCTCAAACATTTAGGGTTTCCCATTAATGTACCGGTCGCTAGTCGAATTTTCTACTGCAACAAAATTATATGAAGAAATGTAAGACTTGTAAAATGAAGTGTTTACAGATTTTCCCGATGTAGATGAAACACAAAGTCTGTATTGAAATAATAATGGTTGCACTGTTAAGCCGGGTTGAACTGGTGGCGCCCTCTAGTGATCGAGGGATTCCATGTAATACTAATTTTACTGACAGGAGCTGTTTCCAGTTTGGCTTTTGTATTTGTTTCCCCTCTCTGGACATGCAACTGCAGCTTTTTGGGTTTTCACTTTTAAATACATTTCAATTTAGAAAAACAATTGGAGTGAATTTATTTCTGTGAGTTACAACTATACTTACACATTAAAATAAATGATTTACTCACAAGCTTTTTGATCCCAACTGCACATCTGTTCTGTGACTGCACCTCGTAGCAGTAATGCAATCATCAGACAGAAACATTCAAAAAGATAAATTACTCAAAACCTCCTCTGTGGTTTTTCCCCAATTAAAAACTCTCCAGAACCACATTTTGCCATGATAATGCACACATGCATGCACATACTCACAAGAGGAAACAATTCCAGCATGGCCTACTCTTAATACCGGTTTAAGCCACTAGAGGTCACTAAAAGATAACAATTCAAACCATCCAGTGATTTACAGTTCGATCAGCTCTCAGTTCTGGCCAGGTTAGGGAGAGCTGCTGAGTATTAGACTGTTAATTATTGCAAAAATATATTATGGAATGCAGCTTTATCTTATAATGAACTCTCCAGGCAGGGCAAGAAAAGAGAATGAATCTTAGGGAGAGAAACAGGAGAAATGTATGTCAATGAAGTCATGATGTTTGGGGCTTTAACATTTACTGTTTCTGGATTCTCCCTTCTTTCTGTCTGTCTTCAAAGCTGGTACCCCCACAGTGTTTGTGCTCCCTTCTACATGTCTGCCAGCTGTCAACTCACTCTGAACCGACCACAACGCATGCTCCTCCAGTGCCATCCCACAGCCCCCTGCCATCCCCAGTTATCTTTACAGGCATAACACCAATAATTGAACCCATGAGTTTCTCTTGCGTGGGAGGTTGGGAACAAAGACGCCTTACCACACCAGATAAGTGGGTGAGAGCTGCAGCCTTAACTGACATTAAAACGTGAGAAATGTGATCGGGAAACAATTTGCAACAAAGAAAAAGGGTAGGGAAGAAATGAAAGGATAGTATAGGCAGAGAACAGAAGCTCCAGGGAAGTATCTTTAGTGTGGCCTGACAGCAGTTAATTCATAGACAAGTGAGGGGTAAAGGAACAGATAGAGTTAAAAAAAAACACCCAGGCTGAGATGACGCTTTTGCTGAAAGAGAAACTTATGGTGAAACTAACAAGGTTTCCCACAATAGAGATGGGAATATACTCTATACACACACAGCGGGATAGGCCTTCGCTCATTTGGAGGTCTGCAGAAAGAGGTGGCAGTGTGGCATTAAGCAATGCTTCAGGAATGGCTGCAAGAAAAAACGACTACACTGCGGTCTCAACAACAAATCAGCTCCATAATGAACACCAGGCGTGAGATATGTGTGGATAAATAACATTAACTATATAAACTACTAGTATTATAGGTATCTCAGTATAACATCTACAACGCTGGTGACAGGACTGTTGACCCTGGTGAAACTCCTACTTTTTCCCTTCCATCTTATTTTATTTGCTTCCGATTACATTAAAACTAAAATATTTAGAAAGGTGCTTTTCTTCTCTTTGACATAAACTGGGTTTATACATCTAGTGAAAGTGACAAAATAACAAAAAACATGTTACTAAACTGAAAAATGAATAGTTCCGGTATTATATGTTATTTAGGCAAAGCCTGAACATGTTTTCCTTTCGTTTGCAGGAAAGTAATTTACCAACAAAGTTTACAAGCATTATCCTACAAAGTTATGTTGTTTGAGGTCAACTAACTCTTGTTTCCAAATGTCCTGACCTTTTATTAATAAAACAGAATAACAGTGCTAGACAGACATTTATAAAACTCACAGGAGGATACATTCTTACAACTTCAGTGTTTCAACAACTTTTTGTTTACAACCATCATCTGGGTACACTTTTAATTTGTCCAATCCTTTGGTTTACCACCAAACACATGACAAGTAATTACATTCCTAAAGTCTCAGCTGTAGTTTCTCTTTAATGCTAATTAGCAAATGCCGCATGATAACATGGTAAACTGTATATGTTAGCATTTACCTCAAATCACTACAGTGCCTCAGCACAGCCGTGGGATCAGCTAGCATGACTGTAGGTCTTTTGTAAAGCCTTATTTTCTGTAGCTCACCTGTGCAACGTATAAGCGATTCTCCTACAATTAGGAAAAATGATTAACTACGCTAATATAATAAAGGTTAAGAATCTGTTTTGAGTTGTCAAGAAAAGCTGGGAGTCCCAAACAGAAGTTGAAGGAGGGTGTTACTCTTTATCTGCAGCTCCTTTATTACAAATAGTTCACCAAGTTTAATGAGACTTGAGCTGAGGGAAGGCCAGGTCTCATCTATAGTCTGTATAAGATCATCGCACGACATTCACACACACAACTCTACGGCCTACAGAGACCCTCAGCGTCGGCCAAGCGGCCTGCGATCCATCGGCCAGCTCTCCTGTGTTGCCCTGCAGGCTGAGCTTTGCCAGAGCACTACGCTGCCTTTCACAGCAGCCTCAGCAGGACTCAATAAAGCCCTGTGCCTCTTGTGTCATCCCTACCAGCTGTACACAAGGCCGGGAGTGTAGTGCTGTGTTTGTGTGCCGAGGGAGGCCTGTTTCATCTCTAGTGCCCGTGTCACAGCCGTCCCGTACGGGTAAACCTAAAAACATCCAGCTGTGGGCATGGAAACCAAAGAGACTTTCTGAGGATGAAACCGCAACGGCTGGCAGCTTGTTTTTATCAAACTGCTCACCCCACTGAAACAACCAGCACACATTCACCTCACTCTGCTGCAGTGTGCAGTGTGAACAGTAGATGGCGGTTCTGGTCCAGGTACATGTTGTTAGGAAAGACTAAAAAGGCCCAATGGGTACATGGGTTAAATAACTGACAGGGAGATTAAGGGAAAGCTGTCTTTTGTAAGGATGCCAGTTCAAGAAAAGATTAATTAGACCTGAACTGAAAGTGACGAGCATTATTCAAAGCACTACAGACATGACAGTGAGGGTTCAGCGACACCTACAAAGGAAGATGTGGTTTGACAATTATCTGCAGCACTGCGGTGATTAATCACAGCGCGGCCTGTCAATGTCAAACCCATCTGACAAAATGAGTCAAGTGCTATTGATCATGCCCGCCTTGAGTTTCACTTGCACTCACACTTTATCAGATGGAGCTAATTTGGAACATATTCAGTCTGTGGTCCTGAGAGATGTGTCTGTCAGGAGTAACATTCCTGCTTCGATTCTCTGATAGCCCGTAGCGCCTGCAGTCTGGGTGGGGGACAGGCTGTGGAGGGAGAGATTTGGGGGGTGGGGATTGGGGTAACGGCAGCACATTTAAAGGTGGATAGGTGAGTAATAAGCGGGCATCCTTTAACTTTCGCCAGGCTTGTCATCCGACTGGATTAAATATGTGCTGAAGATTTATTGTACAGGAGACCTCTGGGGCCCCAGAAGGACAGAACCGAGCTGCCTCCGCCTCCACTTTTCTGCAACCATACTTTTTCTCTCTCTCTCTACCTTGACAATCTCTCTCACCTATTTTCACCAGCCTTGTGTACATACGTGTGATGTGATGGATTCTGTGATTATTATAATGTTTACTACTTCAGCCTGGATGCCTGCATGATTTATGTCAAACAGAGAGGATATATTCAGTTCTTCTACTAAAACTAAAAAGCAAATACTCAACAAGTTAAGGTCCTTCATTAAAAAAAAAAAAAAAGTATAAAAGTATGTAGAAATGTAAGTATTAAAATAAAAGTATGCCTATAAAAGACTAAAAAAGTCCCATCCTAGTGACAATCTAACACATTACAGATATTATTTTCTGATGCAGTGAAAGCAGCATTTTACTAGATGCAATTATTTGTTACATTTTATAAAATTACTTTGTCATATTTGCTGAAACTGTCACTATATCCAGCAGTGCATGAGACAGATACTGTGTGAACAAAATATTCTTCCTCTGCCTCCCCCCCAGTGCTCCTAATGGCATTTACAAGACTTCACTGTGCAAGTTATTTGTATTTGATAAATGTACTGTTATGAGAATTATCATATTACTTCGCCATCTGTATTGGTGTGAAAGTGTTGTTGGTTGCCTGGACACAAAATCGTCCGAGGCAAGTGACATTGAACAGAGCTGTTTACCTCTGATTCAAGTCTTTATGCTAATCTGAGTTCACTGTTGGCCTTATATTTATATATTTAACAAACAAACAGAAGTATGATATCTTCTCATACCTCTAATAAAAGAAAACAAATGAGCAAATTTCCCTTTGTTTCCTTTTAAGTACAATACTTAAGTAATTGGACTGTTCCATACCAATGCTGTCCGAGAGGTTTGTCTGAACACATGCATATGCTGACACACTAATGCCTAATCATAACTCAGTCTTTAGATCTGCAAAGTTATGTGATGCAAGTGTAGTAAATCTGTTTTGAGCCAATCTTCCATATGATTTTTACATATGTTTTTTTGGCCATAAGTCATATTCCCTCCCCAAAATGATCCCCATGTGCTGAGCAGTGTTCCTGGCTTCTGATGAATAACTGCACACGAGGCTCTGGCCCAAGACCTGCATCAAACACACATCCCTTATGGGACGGGTGGGGTGTTAGGTGATACATTTTTTTCCTTAACACTGACTGACACTGGCAAGCAGCAATATTGCCAAATAATAAATGTAGCTCGATGTCGGGACCACAGAGTTTGGATTAGAAACTACAATCATGGGTATTATGTGTTTTATAACTCCAAAACCACCGACTTGTACTTTCATGGGTGAGTAGTCAAGAAAATGAACCAACATGACACATGAAAACATTCTTGAGGGTTTGGTATGACCATGAGTGAGTGGATACGGTGTTATAGGTCAAAGGTGAACTTTGTCTGCGCTGCAAGCAGAAAGCAGCTCATTATAAATAGGAAACCTGTCCAATAACGTAGAAAAATGATTTTCATAAGTGAGAATCTTACATCATGTTTGTGATTTATTCTCCTCTACATGCGAATACGTACGCTATTTCAGTTATTAACAATTCCGTGATTGATTCCTGTGGTTATTTTTCATTCAGCAATCAACAGTCGCCATTTGTTCATTAAAAAGCAACACTATCATATTTTATCCAGACACATTATTCCAGTGACAGTCGGTGACCTCTTGCCCGACACATCATGGGGAC